CGGTATGTAAAGCGTAATTAATGTCAATAGTTTTATATAACATTGTTCTTTTCAGACTGGGAGTTTATTTGGTCGTACGATTTTCTTTGGAAGGTTTCTCTCATCACGCTGGTCTCCTGCTTACCATTGTACATAATCAAGTTCTTGCGTAAGAAATGTTCGCCGCCCTCTTACTTGAAGCTCTCTTAGATGGCGGCCTGGCAAATGAATTACAAATTATCCTGACTATAATTTCCATTTGGTTCTGTTCACAATTTAAACGTTCTTGGCACCCATCCCACAACTATTCTTTGTTTTGCCAATACCCGCACCAATCCCAAATATACGTGATATCAGGTTAAACTCCCCATCTTCGACACTACACTTTTTCTTTATGGTATTTTTGTTTAATTTTTAAAGTTACACAAAAGACAAAAGAAGAAGTAGTTCGATTATTGTAATTTAAATCAAATCGATTCTTATTTGTAAGCGTGAGGCGTAAAAGTTTTAATATGTCCTTCAGTTTTGTATACCTGTGTGTATTTGATTAATATTTAAGTCGCAAAAACCAAATTATGTTACTAATTATTTAAAGATAAAATAAATTAATATTAACTGTAACTACGACTAATAATGAAATCAATTACCATGGTATAAGAATTAAAAATTGTAAAACAAAAAATATAGATTTTGTATAAGGATTTAGAAATTGCATTGCATTGTGTAATAATAATTATAAATAAATATACATATATTAATTAATTGAAAGGGAAAGTTTGTCCGTTTTACTAGGGGTTAACTTTCAAGGAGCTCCTTTTCAGGTATGGTAAGATATAAACAGCAACGCAGATATTTTTTGTATTGTACATTTTTTATTTACCATTTTGCTTGACATTTTGTTTCTGTTTATTACTAATTCACAATTCTTTGCTTGAAATACATAATAATTTTAATAATATATTTTATTATGCATGTACGCACATACAAACATACTTACGTACGTAAGTTAATGAATTTTGTGTTGTCTTTTGTCGGTAATATAATAGTTTAGCTTTTGCTATGCTCTTAAAATGCATGACATCCATTAGCGTTTACACTTTCATGGTTTTTCTAACAATTAATTATTTTCTTGTTTCGTTACTTGGTTGTTAATTGCTTAGCAAAACTTCGACTCATTATAGGTTGAAATGATGAAGCATTGGTTTACGATTTTGCTTAAATGCGCAGAAATACTTTTGAAGTAAACAATTTTGTTTGTATTTTATTTCCTCAAATTTCACAACATTGAAATTTTATTTCTTCATCAACACATGTAGTTTTGTTTTAATTTATTCTTGGTGTGCTTTGTTATAACATTTTGATTTTCTTTGTATACTCGCAGCAACTTGCCTTCCGCTAATACTGAATTCTGTTGAGCCTTTCGTGTACTACCTGGTGAGCAAACTCTTTGCCAAGAACTCAATTGAGCCGTTTAGTTCAACTTTTATGTCGGTGTATAAAAGTGTCGTCCAATCATTTGGTTTCTTAAAGCTTTTCCATTTCCTCATTTGTTCAATCAACAATTTCAACTCTAATTCTCAACTTGGGTACAGAGAGCTGAGCTACATTTTGAAGGGTATGGGGATGTATATATTGGGGATAAATACTTTTGTAGACATATGTATGCACGTGTGTTGAAATCGGTTCTCATAATCTTTCACTTCTAATTTACTAAAAATCTACAAAATATAATATTTGAATTTTCCTCTGCTAAATATATTCTGCATATACATACGTTATAGTGATTGTTTAACATTTTTACATTTTTTTATGCAAGTTTTACTTTCTTACTGTGGTTTTACTGTGTGGTTCTTGATGAGGTCAACTTTGATTTGTTTTATTTGAAACGTTTTCTTTTCATCTCATTGAATATTATTATATTTAGAATGATTTTCTCTAATTGTTGATATGTGTTTACTGTTGTATGTTGTGGCTAATATGAAATCTTGCGTTTTTCGTTTTATATTTTTACAATTCCAAAAAGATTGAACCGCTTCCCTTTACTTGTTAATTCGGTTATATACTTTATTAATTTTTTTTTGCTTTTTAATAATATTCAGTCTATATAAACATTCATTTATACATTTATGCTAAATTTTTGGAAAACAATTTGGGAAAAGCGTGCGAAACTGACATTTTGCAGTCCCTCAACCAAAACTGGTAAAACTTCTCTAAAAAGAAATTGGGTTAAAACAATGTGGAAATAAAAATACCTGAATACCTGTGGATGATCTGTTTATTTAGGAGAAAGTGTTTAATTTATGTAAATCTATCAAAAATTAATGGTTGTTTGCTTTACCTCGCTATTATGTCTTACATTTTTATTCAATAATGTAGGTATAGTTTGGGCATGCTGTTTGCTCTGCATTCGCTTCTGTATATTTATTTAAATATATTTTTGTTAATATTTGTTTTCGTTTGCTTTAGCTTGTTAACACATTCCTCTTGACGAGTTTTATTCAATGCATTTGATTTTAGTTGTATTTTTCATTGTTGTTTCTGAATTTTTACTTAAGGTGGCTATACCTTTTCACGGGAACCGACATTTTCTTCAACAGATTCCTAAATTTTTGCTATGCATTTGAATATAGATAGAAGTCGATCAACGAAAACGAAATCAACTATTTACATATATAGGTTTCCGTCTTGTAATAAATCTAGTCATTGGTTGCAGTTTTTGGTAGCTCTTCAAGTCACATACTCGCAGAAACCAACAAAAGCAAGACATGGGGTTTTGTAGGGTACGTATTTGGATTCGAGTCGAAAGTAAAACTTTTTGCAATATACTTTTCAACATCGTATGCTAAAATATTTATTTCTGATATTGTTAATCGTAATACTTTACGTCGTGCTTTCTAGAATAAGGTTTATTAGAGTGTTCTAGCAGCGACTGAGCTTGCTGGGAAAATATTCATATAAAGAAACGTATTTTATGTTATCAATTCACTAATTACTAAGCAAACCAATGCCAAGCGTATCCTAAAATTAATGTTGCTTGCTCTACATACTCCGTGTTCGGCGCCGTTTAGCTCCTTTAAAAAACTGCCAATTCTATTCGCCATGTTTATGCTCAATAATCCAAGACCTTCCATCCCAATTATAGTAAATCAACTATTAATTGCTTATACCCTCTGCCTCGGATGTTGATGAACGAACTGGCTTACACCTGCACCGATATATAAAATTTGTGTGGATAATGGTTAACTTAGCTAATTAAAAAAGTTCCTAACTTAAATCATTGTAGGCAGTATGTCATTTTGTTTTCTCATTTCGGTTTTCTCTAGCTGTGTGGTTCGTTCTGAGTTTGGGGCCGAAAATAATTGCTGACAGTGAGTTAATTTGTTGTTGAACACAATTGCTTGATTATGACATCAATTAGATAACTGAGCTCCAAATAAAATACTGTGAGTTGTGTGTGTAATGTGAATATCATGTTCAACTTAGTCCATTAAAACGTTTTAAACTCTCGGAACGACTTGCCGAAAAGATTACCATCCCAAAAAAAAGTCTGAATACACTCAACGGTAATCCTTCGCCTAAAGGAACAATTCTAATATCCTAGAACTTTTTCGTGCTATATATGCACGCATGCTATGCGGCACACTGAAAAGCGACTACACATTTAAAATGGATTGGCAAAGCTTTTACAAAATTACGAAACTACGGTTACAAACTACTTTGCCACAAAAAAAGCAATACCATGTGCAATACTGATTTGAGCCCGATCAATCGATTTGGCCTGGCAGGTATTCGAAAACTAGACGTCTCGAAAGCAAATCTAAAAACTAACCACTGTGCTCATGCCAAATGGCGCTCCTCCTCGCAGATGGCGCTGCGCGTCGCCTCGCACTGGGCACAGTGCTTCTCCAGAAACTTCATGGACAAGTGGAACGTATACCGGTGCCGGGTGCAACGCCTTTACATCTTGTACTCGACGATTTTGTTGGGATTGAGGAACTGCTCCCGTTGCGACGCATCCAAGTGGGCTACGGTGCGCGTCAGTGCCGAGCCCGATCCCGATACCGATCCCGAACCTGATCCCTGTCCCGCTCCTGTTCCAGCTCCAGCTGTTGATCCGGAAGAGGACTTGTGCTTGCCATCGCCGCCGCCTCCGCCACTAGTGCGTCCAGTGTCCGTCCCAATGGGCTGGTAAACGCCCTCGGCACTGATCACGCCCACATTGACCCCGGCGACCACCGGCTGTTGGAGATATCCGGAGTACTGTGGCGGCAGCTGGTAACTGCCCGGCGGCTGCTGCTGCTGCTGTTGGTGGCTGCCCGCCCGCGGCTGCTCCGTGTGGGCAATGGGATACTGCTGCTGATGGGCGTAGTCCTGGCTGCTGCCCACAGCGCCAGCGCCAGCCACCGGACCACCAGCTGCTCCTCCGCCACCGGCTGATCCTCCACCACCGCCACCGCCCATACGGGAACCAGAGTCATCGTTGAGGCCCTCACCCATTTCGCCATCTCGATTGTGCCGTCCGCGGATGCACAGCTTGGTGAAGAGCCAGACTCGTCCGCGGTATAGGAGGTAACAGCAGAAGTGAACGAAGAACGTAAAGATGATCGCACAGGCCGTCACTATGATCGCCTTGCCCGGCTTGGTCCAGTCCATCATCGGGTAGATGGCAGTTTGGTTTTTCCTGCAATCAAAAACGACATTACCCTCCTCCTTCTTCTATGAAAGTCGCTGAAAGTCACCTGTCTGTTCCGCCGGCCAAGAAATAGATTCCCGTGAATATGGCGTAGGCCAGGCCAATGCCAGTGGTAAAGTAGGCGTGGCTCATCTTGATCGGGTGCCCCACGATTGCCAAATCGATGAGCATTATAATCGTGTTGAGCACATGGACCATTATGTTCAGCGCATCGATCTTGTGGATTTCTGGAAGTACAGCAGTGGTGTTAGGGTTCGGTTGGGAACTATTAATGTATTCATAGTTCGAGAACTGGAAAGTATAAAGCTTATTTTATAAACACTTGATGTAAATGCACTGCTTCTCTTCATATATTATAGAATACATTTAGCCCTTCCGGGCAGGCTTTTTCAGAGTTCTCCAATTTAGAAAATCCCTATTTCGAGTCCACGAACATGTCCCATTGGCTCTTCAGGGATCTGGCTAAAAACTTTTGATTTGACGTCTGGCCAGCGTAGTAGAACTCAAATCCCACTTCATCGGCGGAGTCAAGAAAGATGTAGCAGGCGAGAAAGTCGAGCAGGAGCATCGTGGAGCAGAGTGGCATGTCCAGGATCGGCGGCAGGTTCTCCCAATAGCCGGAGATGACCTGCGCCTGGAACACAATCAGGGGGCACATAACTTGCCAGAGCACAAAGTGAGTGGCTACTTCATAGGAGTAAATCAGATCAGGCACGTGGACACAAACGGCGGCCATTAGGACGCAGGAGAACACAACGAATATGAACCAGGTGAGGAACAGGTAGGCTATTGTGGGGCAATCGGCCAGCAGAAAAGAGCCGACCAGCAGGAGCAGCGCCATCATGACGAGAATCTCCAGGCTCACGAGCAGGACGTGTGCCGCCCGCTGACTTGAAAGGATGGACACCGTGCCCAGTGCCAGGCAGGCTGCGCTGCAGCAGCTGACTATCCAGTTGAATGGGAACTTCCGGCGCAGCCAAGTCACGTTGACATAGGTGCACAGGCTGGCCAATCCGATGACAAAGAAGCAATAGGTGGCCACCACATCCGGCACCAGGGAATATCGCTTGAACAGGCCCGGCAAGATGATCAACCCAATGGCCAGGACGATGTACACCATGGCGATGCCGTAGACGCACTGGCGCACCTTGAGCCGGAGGCGCACGTCGCCATCGCCTGGCTGATCACTCATCGATGTGGGCAATTTCCTCGTTTTCTGGTCGACTCCCGGCGCCCGTGTCAAGTGTCAAAGGCGACAGCTCGGCCTGACAGCCAGTATGTTAGGTGTAACCAGATCGGTATCAGCCCCAAATTTCAGCGTGCGATCCGTTGGATCCTATAGCTCCAAGAGCAATTACGAGGCTAATCCTAGTCTGCTTGAAAGCCAGTTTTCGGAAGGGGAGCGTTTTGTGGAGGCGTGCACCAGCATCGACCTTTTTCCAAAGAGACGGAAACCCTCCACCTGCATTTTCCGAGCCTACGTCTTCTTGCTGTTGGTCATCCAGGTGGTCCTGGCATCCCTCCAGTGGGTCGGCTCCACGTACCGCTGGAGACCCCAGCTGAATGCGGCCAACCGCGGCCTGTCCGTCCTGCTGCTCCTGCTTTCGTGGATTAACCTGACGCTGGCCTTTATTGGCTTCCGGCGGCTGCAGTTCACCTTCCCGCTCAATTGGATCATCTTTGGGTGCATGTTCGAGAGCCTCACGCTGCTGGTGGTGTGTCTGCACATCCTCGAACAGGACCTAACCTGGCCATTTGTGCTGATTGGCATTGCTGTGCTGGTTGTCTACACGCTGCTGGGGCTGTGGGTGCCCGGATTCCTCACCGCCAACTTGTGGATCCTCATCCTGGCGAGCATTGTGGTCTTCCTGGTCTCGACAGTGGCCTTGAGCGTTCGCCTGGAGATGCGCTACTACGTGCCCGCCAGCGTCTGCTTGGTGTTCTTCGGACCCTGGGCCATGTACAACTCCCAGAAGCTCTTCCTGCGCCACAAGCGGTCTCGCTACTTAACTCACCAGTACATGGAGGCGTCCGCCAAGATGTTCATCAACTACGCCTTCACTGTGAGTGGCATTATATTCGCACACCGCTTCTCGGTGGACACCTTGGATGCCCACAAATAGGATATGGCGATTGCTTGGTTGGTACTTATGTGGTTTAGTTTTTTGTAAGTCCTTCTTAGTGCTCCGCACAATTAAATTAGGTGTCGCAAAATTGTTTGTAATTGCCCAACAATAACACCGCACAATTTAGTATACTGGGGAAAATGGCAACTAAGGAAAACAAGGACTCGTTTCTCGTGTTCAAAGCACTGCCGGCTGAACTATGAACTTGGGGCAAATGCGGTTCACTTACCGGGATTGTGGACCAGGAGCCAGTAGCACATGGTGACGATGAACGCATAGACAGTGGCGCAGGTGTACAGCACCCAGTACAAGTGGTGCAGGCGACTCTTCTTCGCCTGCCGCACGATCTCGAAGTCCTCGCGCTCCACCATCATGCCCTGGGTCACTATCCAGGCGGCCAGCCAGGCCTGCACCGTGCAGAAGAGCAGTCCCCAGTGGGTCAGGTAGATCCACCACTTGGCGTAGTGGTGCTCGAAGTGCTCGTCCGTGCGTCCGATGTCCAGCAAGGAGCAGACCAGCGCCGCCAGGCAGGTGATGGCCGTTATCCATCGGTAGAACAGGTAAACGATGCGCACCTGCGTGTTGCGCTGCCACTGAAAAGGGTAAAGGCGCATCAGGTTTGCGTTTGAACTTCTTGAGGAGATTGGATTGCTAGCTCTCTGCACAGCTTTCCATGTGGAAAAGAAACCATTTCAAGGCAAAGTGCTTGTATATCATGACTCTTATATTAAATCACACAGAAAGTGAGCAATGAGTGTCAGCAAAGAATCTTTATGTATTGGCCTTTTAAATAGATTGATTATAGCACTAATAATATAAAAGATAAAATTGATTTGTGGCTGGAGAAATGGCTCACCTGGCACAGATAAAAGTTGTGGCGGTGCACATGGTCCGGGGTGAACTCCGGGAAGCAGCTGTTCCACAATTTGCTAACCATCATTCTCTGGTTGCCCAGGCAGCTGCCCGCGTTGCTGGCGAATTGGTTGAAGCCCTCGCAGCTGTCCTGCGAAGGATATTGGTACGAGTGGTAGGACTGCTGCTGCAGTTGCTGCTGCGACGGCTGGAAGTGCTGATGTTGCTGTGGGAAGTGCGACTGTTGTTGCTGGTGATGCTGCTGCTGCTGCTGATGCTGCTGCTGTTGCTGCTGTTGGTATTGGTAGGGCTGATAGCGCTGCTCCTCAAGGACGCGCTGCGACTGACCACCAGCACCCCGACCGTCTGATCCCGCCGATCCCGCTCCTCCCGCTGCGGCTGAGCCGTGCTCCGTTTGGTACTCGTGTTGCGGCGGCGTCTTGTGGCTGTGCAGGCTGTCCCGGCCGCTGCCGCCGTAGGGATGCAGAAAGTCCGGCAGGTCAAGGATGTGCGCCAGCTGCGTGGCAACCTCCTCGTCGTCCTCGTCCTCGTCCTCCTCCTGCAGATGGAAGAAGCGCAGTTCCTCGAGACTCGAGCAGTCCGTGGAGAGCAGTTCCTGCGGCAGGCACTCCTCGAGCAGGTCCTCCTCGTCTTCAGTGGTGCTGGCAAAGCCAGGCAGATAGCCGTAGTTGTCGTAGGCGTCGTACCGCCTGCGGGGCGTGGCCTTGTAGCGATAGCCAGCTTGCAGCTCCTCCGCCGCGCTCCCGTACTCCCGGAACGGCGAGCTGGAGACCGCTGATGCTGCTGCTGCTGCTGCTGCTGCTGCCGATGCCGATGCGGATGCCGCTGCTGCAACAGCCGCCGGAGTGGGCGGTACCGGTGGCGGAACGGTCCGTGTGCTCCGGCTGCTGAAGTAATAATCGGTGGCTACGCTCGGCGCCGGTGGCGGTGGTGGTAAGGCTGCCGGAATGGCCAGTGGTGGCAAGTAGCCGGGTGAACTTCCCGCTGAGGCTAGCAGCGGTGTCGGCGAGGCATCGAAGTTAATTAGCGCCGCTGCCGGATAACCTCCGCCGGAATATCCGCCCACGCTCCGGTACGGATACGGAGGATAGGCTGCGCTGCCCGGTGCGCCGCCGCTGCTGGTGGTTCCTATATAGATGTGCGCCGATGTGGACGGCAGATGGTACCAGCTGGAAGGGCAGAAGGGTGCAAATCTTTAGGATTAGGACGTGAGCATGGAGCATGGTCATACCTGGCTAGGTTGCCGCTGCCCAGACCGAAGCCCAGGCCCAGTCCGAGACCCAGATCGGTGTTGGTGCTGCCGCGACTGAAGTAGTAGCTGTACTGCTGCTGCTGCTGCTGCTGTTGTTGCTGCTGCTGCTGTTGCTGCTGCAGTTGCTGGTGCTGCAGCTGCAACTGCTGGGCCGCAAAGAGCTGCTGCTGCTGGGCGATCTGCTGATGCTGCTGGTGGGGAGCTGCGTAGTCGGTGAGCCAACGTTGCCGCAGGCACGAGTAACTCTGCTGCAACTCACGCTCGAGTCGCTGCAGCAGCAATTGTTGCTGCAGCTGCTGTATCTGCAGTTGCTGCTGCTGCTGGGCTAGCAATTGCTGCTGCACGAGCTGCTGGTGCTGTTGCTGCTGCTGTTGTTGCTGCTGTTGGCCACTAATTGGCACCGCTCTAAAGTAAAACTGCGCGTAATCCAATGTGAAGGCGTTCCTCTACAGCTTCGACGCGCGTCTACCGCATTCACGCTTGGCAGTTGCAGTTGCAGTTGCTGTTGCTGTTGCTGTCTTCTTGTGTCCTTTGTGTCCCTTTGTGGCTTGTGCTCCTGCTGCAGTTGCAAGTGGCAAGTCGTCTGAGCCTGTAAGTGGAGCAAGGCATTGAGGCATTGAGTCGAGTCGGCTGCTTTTCAAATGCGAGTGCATAATGCACTAATTAGGCGCGCGTTGCGTATACGCCGTGTGTACGCAGAAAAACAGGGGCGTAAATTAGTTGCACGTTTGTCATAGGAAAAAGCATTTTGTAAGTATCTGTATGAATCTACACCGTTCCAGTAATTTAATACAACCGCATAAATTTATGCATTGATAAGCATATTCCCTGTAAAATTGATAATCAGAAGACTGTAGGCCTATTTGTTGTATCCTATTATACAAGTTAAGAAGTATGAAATGGTTTTGAACATACTTAGTACATCTTGGACCCGCTTAGCGCCGCCTAGGGACCCCCACATGGTAACAGATAAAGGCTGGAAAGTACGATCCACTGAGCACACACAACATGGTTCTGAAATCGTTTCTTTGGCATACCAATTTGCAGCCGTGCAAACGTTCTCAGTTTTTGAGACAGAAACACAGTGGAAGGCATTCATGAAGGCAATTTCTCCGCCAGGATGTTCACTACATTCGTTGAACATCCTTGAGGTCTGGAGGCATTCAAGCGCATACTATGCTCCCTCGAGTGTTGAACTCCGTTGAACTTTCGAATTGGAGTTGGTGTCTATGGAGTAATTTGGGAAAGTGTAATGATGGGCTAGCAAGAATCAGATTTTCCTTGCAGATGTAGAAAAAGATTAGATACAAATTGAAATTACTTCTGAACAATGCCCAAATGTTCACTCATTTTCATTTTATTATAATTGAATTAAACTTGTGAATAATAACGCGCAGCACTTTTCGCCTTATTATCGCCAAATGCCACGGCGTTATCCTTTCGCTGCAGAAATGTCCTTAGCAAGTGTGGGCGTGGCAATACAATCAAATCAAATTGCGCGTGCCTCAGCAAAACGCAAAGCGCAAAACGGCGACCAGGAAGCGCCGTTGTGGCAATTTCGGTTGCGTTGCTTTTCCGCTGCAGAATTGAGTTGCAGTTAGTTGAGATGTCTGCTTCGCGTGGGAAAATGTCGGGGAAACTGCAGGGAAAACGCTGGGTGTGTGTCTCTCTCTGTGTGTGTGTGTGTGTGCATTTGTGCTTTTTGACGTCATCAGCAAATACTTTGCTACTGGCACTGGCACAGGCACTCGTTTTGTTGCTCTTGTCGTCGCTGTTTGCACAGCTGCCATAGGGCCACATTTAGTTGTTGCCACTACCGCTGCCTGCAGCTGGTTGTTGCAACATTTACATTGGCAATTTGCTTGGAAAAGCACTTGCACCACCATCCTCCTTGTACCAGCCATTCGCTGCACACACACAACCCAGTCGCCAACGGACCCACTTCCGGCCACAAGTCTGTGCTTTTGGCCTAAACCGAACTTCCGACATTTTCACCATGACCTGGACACCCTTTTGTTATGCTGGGCTCACTCCAGGGAAACCAGGGTGGCTTCCTTTTGAAATGTGCATTAATAAAGTTATTAATCTTGAGCTCAAGAAATTCGTAGTTACCCCTATAATACATAAATTAATATCTACAAGACCAAGAAAGTAAGATGGAAATGATGAATTAAAAATCCAGATTGGTAATGATGAATTCATCAATGCTCGAAAGAGAATCCACGGTGTCCTAAGTAAAACTCATATGCGCTGACACAGCTTGTGCTTTTATGTGTCTTTTTCTTAGTTTGTTTTAAATTCCACTTTTGCTGTGGAAAAACTACGTTTAACTTGTGTGAAAACTTTTTCCTTCCATCACTTTAAGACTCCTCTGCATGATGCCAGAAACAATAACAAAAGGATCTGAGAAAGAGCGAATAAAGTTTGGTTCAACATTTAGTTAAAGTCGTTTGGATGGTTTTCAGCCCTGGCTGTTTATTTATAGCCCACTTGGCGGAAAAAAGTGGAATTTGACAATAGTTTTTGCAGCGGCAATTAGGGGCACGCAGTACGTTGCAGGTCATAAAGCCGAGAATGAATTACCCAACAAAGTTGCAATTGAAATGGAAATTGAAATTTAATGGCCATTTGCAGAGATCGCGCAGAATCCTGCGTGGAGTCGTACTCCGGAGCCAGGGAATGGCTCAATAGACGGACAATTGTGTGCTTAAGCTGGATGATAAATTCACTGAAATGCCCGCCGGGCAAACAAACACAACACACATGTTGTGGACAACGTGTCGTATGCGCGATGGCGGATGAGGTGCTAAAAGAACTATTACATTTAAGCTAATTTAACTTGGAAAACGTGCCAATGCATGATTCTTTGGCATATAAAAGAAAATCTAAACTTTAATTCGATTTTACTTTCCCATAATCTTTTAGAGTTGAATTTCTTTCTCGTTTAGAGCCAAGCTCAAATAGCAATTAATAATTTTCGCATTC